TATCTATTTATTGTAGGCGGAGTCCGACTTAAGAGCGCGTGGTCACAGCTTAGTCAGAAGTCCTTAGCGTCCTTCCACCTCCGAGTGATACATAACGGCGACCGCAGACCTCCAGAAGGGATGCTTCCTGCCAGGTAATAGCATGATGTGTGTCTTCAAGTTAATTTAAAGGATTGCGTAGCACACCTTCGTGGTGTGAAAAAGCAAGCACCTCTGATAGTGCAAGTAACTGCCTAGGTTTTTGGGGGGAAAAAAAAAACCTCAAAGGCACAGTTCACGCTTAGAGTACAGTGATAATGGGCCTTCTTCATTGTGTTACTCGCTTCTAGACAGTACAGAGGAAGGGCACTCTAGTGAAGAAGGCAAATGGTTGACTGTTTCCGCCCATATGACCAGCGTGGAATGAGCCTCAAGTGAATGAAAAGCTGAGACTGTTTATCAACGCGCTAGGTAAAATACAGGAAGCGGTGACGCCCAGCAGTTGCTTACATATTGGTCTGATTTACAGCTGGGTGTCATCCATAATGAACAAACTCCTTTCTTTAGCGCTGCGCTGTACAGGAACAGGTGGCAGGTAGATGACTGTATATCATTGACTTCCATGTTACAGTGAAAGCGGCGAAAGAGTTGTCGGTCAAGTGCGGGCGCTACCCGAACCGAATGGATTCAGTCTATTATGGGCCAATAACCTGGGCCAGTATTTGCAAAGCGTCCCATAAAATGGAGGGCGAATCATATCCGCACACGCAAAAAAATCAAGAAAGTACCGCGCAGACATGTTCGCGGCAGTTCCACGAACGGGGGACTATGTGCATTCTGCAGATTCTATGTGAGCGCTTCAGTAGTCTGGCGATTGAGGGGTTGGAATAGGGGGGGAGAGAAACTGCAGTGGGGATGAGCCAAGAGCTACTCTATACATTCAACACGAATAAGAAATGGTAATCCACACCGGAGTGCTCCGCTCGCCCCTTAAGAACTATAGGCTAACCGTAGCGGAAAACGCAAACTGCAACTGTGAAGAACCACGAAAGCAGCCTAGCACCAGCAATGGCTAATGTCCCGTTGGACTCCAGAAATTTCGTCTTCGAGCTCATTTTCAAATTGCCTAAGTCACCAAATCCACTAAAAACTTGTATATAGGGGTAATTCAACATCCTGATTACGAGTATGACACTCATTCTTGGCGCTGGCGCAAGAGAGGACACTAAACGATTACCTCGCTGGGCTCAGCCTTAGCAGAGCGCAGGTAACCGTAGTGTCATCCATTAGCGCCAGCGCCAAAAATGAATGTCATATTCGTGATCAGGATGTTGAATTACCCCTATATACAAGTTTTTAGCGGATTTGGTGATCTTGCCACTTTTAAAATGAGCTCGAAGACGAAATTTCTGGAGTCCAAACGGCATTAGCCACGCTCCATAACCGGTCGTTTCGCGAAGCCATGTTTCAAGATCTTATAAATAGTCGCACATAATAGAAAAAACGGGAAGATCCAAAAAAGGCCGCCCGTAATGGCCCAACACATACACAAAAAAGTGTTAGGGAGATGCTTTTCTCAAAAACCTGCCTTCATCTAATCAATTCTGTCAAACATTTTGGCAGGATTTAAGTCTAAGAAGGGCTCTTGTGGCAAAATGTGACGGTAACGCGGTTGGAGGAACCCCCTGCCACGCCTCTGTATCCGTTGCCCAACAAGGCCTATGCTTAGAGCTCAGACGACCAGAGTAGCCGAGAGACAGATCTGCAGGGCATGCATAGTTTTCATTTAGACTTACGAAGGCGCTGCGAATGCTTCTCCCTTCCAACTACGCTAGCGCCTCGCCTCGTAGTAAACCTGTTAAACAAACTTAAAATAGCCTAATAAAGGCATACTAGAGCAGTCCTTGCTAGAAAGACACTCATAAATCTTTTTAGCAACTTGAATAGGGCAGAATATGGTGAAAAAATCCCACTGCAGGAAAAAAAATCCACGCTCCAGTGTAATTATAACGGGTCCCGAGACGTCACAAGACTTCTTGAATAGCAGGGTAATTATGCAAGAAAATTCACAGAAAGATGAAAATACAGACAAACAAGTACAATAATAGACACACTAAAGATCACAGAAAGATGAAAATACAGACAAACGAGTACAATAATAGACACACTAGAAAAAACGAGACCCCTTGGATGAAACAATCGTCGATTCATGCGTATAAACTGCAATGGCACTATCTATAACAAACTACACATACGTCACTATTCCCAGTGTCACCGAAAAGTTGCTATTGTCCTGATTTCTATTATTTTCGCTATCAATATTAAAACGGACTTTGGAGTCCTGAGTCATAGGTGTCATAAAGGCGATAACCGCAGTGGTGCATTTGCGTGACTCACCCAAGCAAATAAGGTCATTCGTTGTTTATCTAGTGAAAAAAAAACAATGCAGGGAACGGAACCCATTGAGTTCAACGAGCAAATTCCGATTCAATACAAAACGGTGACAGCTTACAGGTGGAGGGGGAGAAGGGTCGGGCAGCGTTCATAGTACGCGAACCTGGCGACCACTCATTTCTCTAACAGCAGCATCGATAACTATGTGGTCCTAATCGTGGAATCCTTGAACTGTCGCCACTCCAGGGGGCGGGAAAGCGCGAGATCTCCCTGTCGTCCCCATCCCCATCCTATCTATCATCCATCCTCTACCAATTTTCCCAAATTTCCTGATTCCTCGAAAATTTTCCTAGTTTTTCCAAAAATTTCGCTGCCGAGTGAGGAGGGGGGATATATAGTACACATAAAACAGGAAAAACCACGAGAAGTCAACAACCTCTCTCAAAAGGCCAGAAGGCTCTCTCCCTCGCCCAACAACGAGCAAATACAACCTCCACCCCTTCATTGCATCCCCGAAACAAGAAAAATCAACTATCAAAAAATTTTTTCTCAAAACAAATACGACCCCCCCCCTACCTCCCCCACCCCAGCGACCAAATACGAACGCCCTGTTAGGGAGTCCCCAACGATGATGTGTCCTGGCTCTGAAAGCTGCCTTACTCTTCAAGCGCAGACGGTCAGACTCGCTGTGTGCCTCGCCGAGCGAGTACTCTCTATGCGACTCTATCTGCGCTCTGATTGTAAGCCCCAACATGGATTAGGGGACGTGTCCCTGCTCCCCAGCACATAACTCAGTTCGGAGGAGGAAGGGGGGCACACGCCGCGTCGACCTCCTTCCCTTCTCCAAAGCTTAGCAGAGCGCGCTGCATAGCCTCGCAGAGCAGATGAAGCTGCGCTGCCGCGTGCTCCTTTACCTCTCGCTCCCTCCCCCCCCCTGAACTGCGTTGGTGCTCACAGCCTCGGCGGGTGAGAGCATTGCTACTGCATCTACACTGCATTCGGGCCGGCTAACAGGGGCATTTACTCTTTTGAGGTTGCTAAAGGGTACTTCTATTACCGTGGAGTATTTAGACTATGACTTGAACAACAGTAATCTTTTCGAGACGAGAACCTTCAACTCGCCATCGACCCCAATAGGTCCTGGCCCAGGCCCATTGCTGGTTATTTCGTGGACAGAACCTATCTATATAACTTCTCTAGTGCCTCGACAATTCTTACTGGAAGTCGATTATGTGGCGCGTCCCAGAAGGGCTCTGACCACTGCGTAGGGATTCTGACCCTTGCTGTCCTTTCGCGTTTTTCGGCCGTTAGAAAGGCTTTTCCCTGGAGCGCTGCTACGGTTCCTAAATGGCCTTGGACACAGCTACTCGGCGTCATAGCGAGTTGAGCCAGCTTCAATCATAAAAGTGCAGTGGCTGGTTCTTGCGAAAAGTATCTCCGCACATACTCTTGATTCCAAAGTGAAAAACATGCACTTTTTTGTGGGAATCGGATAATAAAAAATGGGAAATCACTAGGCGGGGAAATTATGCCGAGACACCCTGAATATTCTGTACGCCGCGAGTTGCCACTGCACTTCCACCCCCCCCCCCCCCCCCCCCCCCTGGTGACCAGCAAAGTGCATAGAGCCCACACAAGTGAGTTGAGGTCCTTTAAAGTCCGTCCATTTTGAAACTATTACTTTGAATTCTTTAAGCGAAATTTGGTCACAAGTTCAAGGCTATATTATTTAGGTAAACATTTTGAAGGTGTCAATATCTGTGCTTTGTGTTAATTTTTTTAGTGTAATAGGACAATTTTCCCTGCATTTCTGTTACACAGGAGTGCGAAATTGCCGTTGTGCCGTATGACGTATTTGGCCTGCCATTTGTCTCCGCCAATCAAAGCGCCAGTCTTGCATGCTACCCGGGGCTATTGGGCTTTCGTAAGTTGGATGCATCGATCCAATGAAAACACGGAAAGGGAGTGTCGCTCAAAACCTTCAGAAACTATCAGGAAATTTCTCTGATACGCATCCTTGTATCACTCTGTGGATCGCAAGGGCCACGCCTCCTTTTGCCTTGATGAGGGGACTGAAATCTTCCTAGTGGATCACGTCCTGGTTTCCCAAGAGGATCAAGCATTACCCATAATTACCAGAAATCAGTTATCTCCGCTGCTATGAGCCGTAAATAGGCGCCGCTGGACGGCAGAGGAAGCTTGCAGTGTCCCTCTTCCGTCTGTCGTCAGGCGCCAGGCGCTAAGTGCCTGTCCATCCATATGTTGCAACATTCGCCATGCACTAATTCGATTACAAACGCAATTTACTCATGTCTATTTCAGATATTTAAAAGGCACGTCGTTTCGCGAGAGCCTTCGAGCCCTATAAATCCGGCAAATCAATACCAATCGATACGGAGCAGTTACTTTTATTTTTCTTGTTACACGGTAGTGAAACCGCACACAGAATCATTAAACACACACTGGAATTGTGCGTTATTTATGATGCAACGGAATATATACAAAGACATCATCAGCAACTCCTAACGAACAATCAACTAAATCAGATACAACATAAATATCCTCAACAACATCACAACACTTATCAACAATAAGGAAATCCTTTGTGATTCATCAGCCATCGCGCTTCATCTTGCCGCGTAACTCTGAAATGGGACTATTTCAAAAGGTCAATCAAAAGGATAGGTATTGATTTTTTAAAACCGACAAATTGTAATTTGGATTGCATTCGCAAATCTTTCCAGAAGTGGAGCAGTTGTTGACTCTAGTGCGATTATAGGCCGATCACCTGGATTGAATCAGTCAATACTGCGTGGAGAGTTGTCGCGCCCCCAAAAATCAATAAACGGTACGCAGTTTAGGACGTGAACATGGCACGTACGAATATAAACTCCCACACAACTTTTTGTACGTTTTGTGCCTGTCAGGGGCAAATAGTCCCCTAATTAATTGTAATCAGACAGCAATGATACCTGAAAAAAAGGGGGGGGGGGGCGGGTGAGGCGCTACTCCCATTCTCTGCTTGTCTGGGCTCTCATCGTCCTTCAGTCAAAGCTTCCATGCACTATCTCTTCGAGAGGGCGCAGGCGAGTAAAAATGGGCACGGATCACACCTTACTGGTCGGCTGCGCCTTTCGTCTCAAGGAATTAGGCTAGCACGTTCAGTTCGTTTTCAATAATATGCCATCTGACTAAGAAGTCGATGCCGCTGCCGAAGAGTGACTCAAAAAAGATGCGAGCATAGGCAGCGATCTGCGCCAAATCTTGGCCGCCATTTATTCTGAGGGACACTTCTACCTCAATTGCCATAGATTGACTGTCTTTACAACAACGTGTGGTTAGATGTATTTAAAACGATTACTATACTCGCAAAATTGGAGCCGACGCCCGCTGCTTTGTTAGCTGCCTCGCTCGGATGTGCATGAAATAGTGTGCAAGTAAAGGACACGCAGGTTAGTGAAGGACGCCAGCGTCAACTCTAAACACGCGAAGTGGCGCTCGGCTGCGATCGATACATATGCATCACATGGACAGCTGGCTGCAAGTTTGGCGAGTATAGACGCGAATGTGACGTGTCATTTCAGGTGCGATTTTGGATACACACGTGAGACGATACGATCGATACACGGTGATCACACACACGTTTACACGACGGAGTTAAAAACACGTGCCTTCGGCAGATCGAGGCGTAGTGCGTGTGCGAATCGACGACGCTGATATTGATCGGACAGGTTGCGAGTCGATCGCTCGCGCGTAGGCCGAGTCACGCATAATCACCTCGTCCGGCGTTTCTTTATCTGAATCCTCGTCATCACTCTCGTTCACTAAACCAGAACCTGCAATGTTGGTGCGAACGTGCAGTGCATATGGCATTCGCAGTGAATGAAAATTACAGGTGCACACACTGGAAGCTCCGCCCATTTTGGACGAGTTATCCCGCCAGTGCTTTAGATTGGCTCACAGCTGACTGCAAGCTGTTGCGAAAATTTTGCCAACAAACAGAACGTTTGTTCATCGGCGCAAACTTCGAAGAAAGCAGGTGCGAACCACGACAGACAGCTCGTCCATGATGGGCGGAGTACAACGCGGACACAAATGTGTATGAATAATTACAAGGTGATCGTATGATGCACATTCGATCACGTACACGAGTGAAAAGGTGAAAAGTGTTGGTAATGAGACAGAGGTTATCTGGACGAGTTTCGTGGTCTTCTATCGAAGAATCGGACGAGTTTTTCATAGAAAAAAGACAGGGAACAAAACCTCATGCTAGACAGGTAAGCGATAGATGGACTTCTACAAGAAATGCTCACCTTCGTGAATAGCGTTCGTGTAGAGATAGTTGGGCTCGGCTTCTGGAACAATTTTTTTATTGTAGTCGATCAATATGTACTAAATATGCTCTCAGAATCCTAACTCAAGTAAGCAGTGCTAATACCAACACGAGCAATGCATTTAAAGATACATTCCGCGATAATCAGACGGGCGGAGACTCATTTTTTGCTTCTCTGCTGCTCTTGTTTCTCCACTCCAACTCACTTGTTTTCCGAAACAGACTGAGGTCACCTGTGAGGAATGCGATTTTCGCTTTCACCCAGTAACCGTTCCAATTAGCGACACATTGCACGATAATCACGAGAGCGGGGAGTGGGCGGAGATGCATAACCACTTTGACATCATGCGTACCCCTCCTTTTACCCGCGATTGAGAAACGCACCATGATTATGAGCCTCGCCCATTTGGTTATCGCGGAATGTATCTCCAAGTAGGCACAGGCGCTGGTGAGCTCGGGGGGGGGGGGGGCAATTGCACATCTGTTAGTTTTTTTTCTTCTAATTCCTGTTAACTTAGACGTCTAATCTTGATGGGACTTGTGAACTCTTGTCCAGTGTGGACAAAGTCCTGCTATTGCATGGCTTTACAAGAGCTAACAGGCCTACACAGAAGGCGTCACAATGATCGATGGGAATCAGCGATACGCTCCCCCCCCAAGCCGCCATACAGGCCCTTCGCTAAAATCTTTATGTTACCGCAAGTTTCCTTGAAGTTTCAAAATATACAACTTTTAAAATATATGCAAACCTTCTAAATCAATGTCCGCGAAATGTATACCGTTGTCGTTTCGAGCGGTGCACCGGTAACTCCCATAGTGATGCTTTTCGACTCGACGAATTTCTAACACATGAACGCTGTGGTACTGACCAGAGACTGTTTGGGACTGAAAGTACATCAGACTTACTTAGACCAATGTCATTTGGTTGCATTTAGCACGCTTAAATATTCGAGAATGCATGGGCTTCAGCCTAGGGTACAACGAGCATGGCGGTCTTCTACTGCGGTTGTGCTCATAACCATATACCGGACAGCTTCACTGTCCAGGTCACGGTCCGGTGAACTAGTCATCGATCGAGTCCCCATACAGGGTACATCGTTGGGAAGATCCCGTACCTGGTGGCTGGAGGATTGTGTTTGGTTGGTGGGGGTCGTATCTGGCTCTGCGGGGAATCCCATCCCCTTATTGGAGATGCCGCTCCGCGGAACTACCACACAACTACCATTTTTTTTTCATTGTCAAAAGTAGTAGAGGAATGGAGACGATCTTCCCCACTCCCTCCCCTCCCTGCAACTACCCCGGTTGACGACAGTTTTCTGACGAAACTGGAATAATCTCCGAAAAACTTTGAATTTTTGGAGCTTCCAAGTTGGAAAACAGGGGAAGTCGAAGGAAGTTAAGAAAATTCAAGAAAAGGTAGGAGGATGAGAAAGGGGGTCGTAAAAATCGCGAATCGCCTGTGGTCCTAGGATAGCCCGACCGTTTGAATCTCTATGACTGCAGTTAGGAAAGCTTTACCTGGAATTATCGAAAACATGTTCGTGTACTAGCTCTTTCAAGACACTTTCCGCGATGAGCGCCTGGGCGGGGAAATAGATGAGGACCAGTGAGCATACCTATGAGCAGAGCACTGCATGGGTCTGCCACTGGTTACTCTGCCCATTTCACTTATCGTGGAGTGTATGTTCGAGACTTTGTGTAGGCCATATCGCATTCAAAAAGCCACTATAACCCGAATGGATGTCGGACGCATGGCGTATCCCACAACATATTGATGGGCGTCAAACGCCAGTTATTTTACTAAAGATCAGCAGTGCCACATCAACTGTGTAGAGTACAATCGATTATTGACCAGAAGTTACCGAAATTATCGATTTTCACGAAATTATCGATTTTCACGCACTTCATAATTCGGGATCCGATCGTTTGGATCGCGCGATTGGATCACTCAAGCGTTTTGGTCGCGCCATCGGATCGCCAAGTATGAACACGCTCTGACATTAGGATAACTGTCCTAGTAAAGCCTAGGTAACTTACTGTGGCATAGTTATCCGAATCGAAGATCTGTTGTCCTTCTTTGTCCCAGGTGACGTCCGGCCTTGGCCACGATTCAGCCGTACAGACAAGGCGCGCCAAACCTCCTACTGGTACACGAACAGACGTTGACTTGGCTTGGATCAGTGGGGCGACTGAAAAGCACTGATCAGGTTTTTTGAAGAATCAATTCATTAGTCGAAAACTAGAATGGCGATAAAGCCGATCTGATCAAAAGTTATCTGCTGGTTAGTTTGTATGAGGTGGGGAATCGAACCTGCGAACCTTAGGATGTCTCCTGAACTCACCTTGGTCACCCTCGCTCGCTGCGTCCACTAAACTCCTCTGTCATGAAGTGAGAACAGGATAGGTCACGCCGCTGGGGACATTTCTCAACCCCCCCCCCCACCTTTCCCATCTCCATCCTACCTATCCTAGCACTCCGAAATGTTTCTCCGAAATTCTCCAGAAGTTCTCGTTGTCTTCCCTTTTCTCCCGAGAATCTGCCATCGAGTGTGGGGCGGGAAGGGGGAGATATACAGGGCACGTGAGACGGAAAATAGACGGAAAAGACAGTAGAACATTTATCGCAGAAGCAAGTACGATTCCCACTCTCCAGCAACCAAATACGACCCCTTTGCTGATGATCCTCTACGCACGACGTTCGTTCCTGAGAGAGAAGGGGCTGCTTTACATACAGGAGACAGCTGCACCTTGTTTCTATCAGATTTGCCATTCTCCAGGCTTCTTTATAGGTATAACCAGCCATGGGTGTCGACTCCACCACCCCCCCCGCTCCGTCCCCTCACCCCTCAAAAGTCATCGTATGTCTCAAAACGCACTCGTATACCTCCAGGATTAAGAGTAGAAGTCAAATACATGGCGCATCTCACAGAGTTTAATTAATACTGAGCATTTCTTGTTTCTTTCGGAGACGGTAGAGTTAAGGACCTCTTGAAGTGAAGTGGAGGGTCCCCAAAAGTGATGGCATTCGGCATAAGCGCAATCGCCGCGGAAAAGACACGGCCACCGACCCGCAAACATCGTCAAAATTGAGTTTGTGCCGCTCGTTCTCGGCATATTCACTCGGACAATGAGGAGAAGCGCTGAAGGGCGTCTGCCCCCGTTGACAGCGCGCGCCAACAACTTCGCCACAGGCCCTGCCAGCCGAACAGCCTACGAGCAGCTCGGAATCGGTCCCACCACTGATCGAGTTATCGCCAGCGAATATTCGTTTCATATGGAAGTTGGATGCCAGTGGAGGAAAGCGGCTCGAAGTACTTTCAACACGATTACTTTTCCCCCATGTTCCACGTAGGTATCAAGGAAATATAATTGGAGCGCAGTCATCCGGAATTGACGAACTGCAAGACTATTCCCTTGCGAATATGCTGCTTTCGAAAAATAAGGAGAGAATATCTGAACTGAAATCTGAATTTGCTGGTCCCAGCTAGTCTCACATATCAACCCTTCTATGATTTTCAGCAGAGGTCAAGTGCATGGCGCATCCCAAAGAAACCGATCGATATCGACAAATTCATCTTTTATCATACCACTAAAGAACTCAGATAAAGTGACTCACATGTTACTAGAAGTTTTACTGTCCACGTTTCGTCGGGTGGGATTCCGTTACTGGCGACACACACGTATTCGCTCATATGTTTCCGATTCACTTTTGTGAGGTGCAGGCTCGGACCATGGAATACGCTGGCTGAAAAGGAAGAACAATTATTGAACTATTTATTTTTTTATTATATTGCTGTACCCTATATTGGCGCAGTTCGGCGACGGGGGGGCATTTTGCACTCCGACCCATCTAGAGAGCTCTTTCATGAGCAAGACAAGAGTTGACGGGTTTTACCATGGTGGCTAGACGAGCTTGCTCCAGCTTCACAAGTGTTCACAGGTTTCACCAGAGCGGAACTTGTGAACCGGAACTAGTAAAGCAGTGAAGGTACAAAATGCCCCCCCCCCCCGTCGCCGAACAGTGCCTACCCATGTTATGTTACTGGAGCAAAGATATCAGGCTGGGTGGAAAGTCCTGTAAGATTTGGGACTAAATTCTCCTTTGTTGAATGAGGGCTCCAAGTTCACAGAGTGTATCACAATTAGTAACTAGGACGAGTGATTTCACCTTTCTCAGGTCATTTCGTAGCTGTGGAAGAAATTGTCAGAAAGGGCGATCCGCTC